GAACACGCAGATTGGTTGCGTTGTTATGCAGCCAAGTCTCATGGGTCCTACGAGCTCATATCTTTCATTGAAAACACTTCCACCTCATCATGGTCCCAATTGATATATGAGTGCGATGGGTGGATAATTTTAAAAGGGCATCTATCTCCACGGTCTACAAATTCAACGTCGAGGTAGATCGCTTAGAAGCTCGCCGATAACGACGGGCCGATGATTCTACCAATCGATGTAGTATGCATCATCGACTTTGACTATACAATTATTATTGAATTCCTTGACGGATGCACACACGTGTCCAATTATCATCCATGCTTTGTACTCTACCAATGTCGGAAGGGGTGGCCTCAGGACCTCCTTTGCCAATACAAGCCGAGGGGTGCCCTTCATGATTGACCACATCAAAGACATAAACACATCATCGCATAGATCTTATTACTTTCTGTTATCATTCATGGTTGATATGATCGAGGATGTCTCTTATCTTCGTTGACATTATGATTCAAACTTCATTTCTGCTATGTGGAAGGATGTCTCGTTGATGATGCGTCAGCCTTGTCTTTATACAGATTGTACATGGTGAACCCCTCCAGTCGTCATGCCATAAGGTTACGGCATTAATCATCTTCCTTCTTGATCTCCTCTTTGATTTGCGTTGATTTTGCTTTCTTGACCTCCCGCTTCTTGGGCCTCAACCATTCCTCCATACCCTCAGGCCAATACACCCTATGTTGCGGTCCACCCATGCCGAAATCCTCAGGGGCTATGATTTTCTCTTCTACAGGAACGGATTCAGGTTCCTCTGGTTCCTCGTCTTCGTCGTCATCATCCTTCTTCTTCTTGGATTTCTTAGGCTTCTTTTTGCCATCCTTCTTGGCGACCGCCTTGTTCGGTCGGATTTCATCCAGTCGCTCGTGTGGCACCACGTTGTTGAATAAGTCCCATCCCGGAAGCCTGAATGTTCGCATGAGTTCAAAGACAGCCTGCTCCTTATCTTTGGCCTCGATCATGAGATCTGCGTCAGGAGGGCACGGTGGAAGAGTGCGCACTCGCGGAGAGTGTTTTCTTCGGTCCCGGGGTGTGGTAGCGCTCGGACAGGATTCACTATAGTGCATCTTTTGCTTGATGTTCTTGCGCGTCCATGTAGCACTGATCCTATCGTAGATCTTCGTAATATCCTCGGTACCCTCACGCAATTGGCTTGCGTCGAAAATGATGTTGTGGTGATGGAAGTCCAGAACCATTGGGATGTTCAACTCCTCGCAGATAGGTAGTAGGTCATGGACAGACCAGGCAACATCGTCGTTCTCGAGGACAAGTCGGTTCTTGATAGACTGTGACAGCTTAGCATAGTTGGCACGGAATCGATCCAGCGTCGATGCCTTGTCGCCGTAAGTGCCACCCATATGCAATATCATGATGGCGTCCCTATTTTGCTGCTCCGGGAGACGGAGAAGGCCGAGCAACTCATCGTGATATTCAAGATCGCGAATTGCGGCTGTGATGACTTCTTTGCGTGGTGAGCCGAGCTGAGTAAACTGGCCGGGGTGCGTCGTCAGTCTGTGGCCTAGTTGTGCAGCGACTTTTCCGGCTTCTGCAAGAGGCTCCGCAGCGAACGGGGTGAGGCGGTAGCCGTATTCTTCATGGCTAGCAAACGGAAACATTTCTGAGCTGAGTCGCATGAACTTGATGCCGTACTTGTCGTTCCAGCGAAGCATTTTCACAATATCCCGAGCATTGGCCAAGCCCAGTTCCTCGACATACTTCTGACCGCGTTTGATATCGGCCGGCTGATTTTCGTCAGGGCGATTCTTAGTAGGGTGTTCAGGCTGAGATGGATCAGCAAGCGGGTGACGATGTTGTAATATGGAGGCTATGCGGCAAGTTCTTGAACTGAAGACGGGTGGATTTGCGGCGCGGAGATAGGTATTGAGACAGGCCTGATCCAGTATTAGTCAACGACAACGAAAGCTAGGATGTGGGAAAGATCATACGTAACCCAACCTTCCAGTCCATGGGAGAGGCAGGTAGCTGCTGTTTACAGGCGGCTCTCGTCCAGCACCTCTCTCCGGGGCGTTCTCGAGGCGCATCTTGTCGTCCTCGACGTCACCGACAGCGCCTTCCCCATCCGGACCTTCGATTGGGGCGGCATCCAAATTGGGGGTACCGGATCGCTCCTCTTCAGCCATCCGGGCGAGCTTCTCTGGATCTGACGGATGGACTGCCAAGTGAGGTTTATATGCGTTTTTGTCTGAGTGAGGCTTGGTTGAACCAGGCGGGACATGGCTCGTCTCGATGGCAAGACGCTGGTTCCTGGTGGAATTCTGAAGACGGTTCTCCATCTCAGTGAGCTCTCTTATGGCACGGCGCACGCCATTCTCAGACTCGGCCTTCTTGCGGCTAATCTGGCGGCGCTTAGCCGGTGGTTGGTCTTTTGCAAGATCGGCCTCGGTGGGACTCATGGCGGCGCCGGGCTTGGTGACTGTTTTCACGTCGCTGATGTTTCTGGCGGATCGGCGCGGAGCCGGAGTGTTGGGGACAGGGTTTGCAGCCTCGGTGGTAGTAGGTTGTCCATTTGTTATACCGGACTTCTTTCGCTTCTGTGCGGCCATGGTGATGTATGGGCAGCAGTTAAGTAATATAAATGGTCGGCTGAGCGAGTACTGATGGGGGTGGGAGACACAAGCGAGCGATGAGCTCAGGAGCGGGACAAGTGACGGCACGAGGGGGCTCGTGGCACGAAGAAGTCGTCGCGGATACAACAGATGATTGGCCGCGGCGGAAGAAAAGCTCCTCATGCAGTCAATGACGGGAGCAGCGGGCGGATCTGTCGAGAAGTGGCCCGGCAAGGTGATGGATACGGAAGCGCGTAGTAGTATAGAACCCTAGGATAGTTATGCTCTAAGGTGGATGTTTGCCATGTGGGAACTAAGGTAATGCGGATGGCCGGGTGTCAGATGGATGCGAATTACGTAGAGACGCTTTGGCGTAACTGCAGGTGACCGAATTTCGAATCGAGTGAGGTACCCCGAGGGATGAAGTGTGTGTAGTAGGGGTGCTCTGTTCAGGATGATGCTCTTCAGCGAGGATGGGAAGGAAGACGATGACAGGGACGACGAGACTGTAAGGTATAGGGGAGCAAGAGAGGAGTATGTGATTTGATATGAGTTGAGGCTGAGTTGAAGTGAGATTTCTCAAATCACTTGCAATGCGCGCCGAGTGAAGCAAGGGAAGAGTGTGTGAGAGGGCGGAGAAAGGAGAGGGAGAGGGACGGGAGTGGGAGAGAGAGCGAGGCAAAGACGAAGAGATGGAAAACGTCGATGAGGTCAACGGGGCCACAGACCGAGCACTGCGCGCTCGAGAGACAGACGTCGGATGGGAGTGAGGTACAAACGGCCATGTATCTTGAAGCGAGCGGGCTAGTAATAGAGGCGAGTATCTACCTGAGCTCAGCTTGAGGTAGGTACTCCGAGCTAAAGTAGGTAGGTAGGGTAGGTAGGGGAATAGACGGGAAGGATGGGAATTGGAAAAGGAAGCTAAGACGGATGCTTTCTACCTGACCTTACCTTAGGTACCTTAGGGTCCCGATCGTGTTACCAATCACTTAGTTTGACTCTCGCTTTCTTATGTTTGTGGCGGAAGAGAAGAACCTAAGGGACGATAGGAGGTAAGGTTAGGGCAACACGATCTCGAGGATGCCTCCCCTCTCCATGCTATGCGAGACTCTACTTTCTTCTCTCTTATTTTCTTGTAAATATGGATCAGGGCCCATACGGTACCACATTCCGGGTCGAAGCTCGCCCCTTGAGGTATGACGCGTGGGATCAATAGAGTCGGGCAGGAAAGAAGACAGCCGAGTTGAAGAGAGGACGCGAAACCGCCACACGAGTAATGAGGCAGTTGAGACGCCACAGTCGACGCTCGACTAGAGATGAGGAAGGCGCTTACCTGATGAGTAAGGATGATTCCTCACTGTATCCCAGTAGATATGCAAAGAAGAAGGAGAAGAAACAGAAAAAGAAAGAAGCGCGGGAGGGAAAAGCGCGTTCGCAACCGTGGATGTGGAACAGAGGAAGGGACGATACAGAGCTATGAGGTAGGTGTGGAGAGCACAGACCACACATCGTGCGTCATTCCTCCAACAGCGCAGACGCACCGCGATTAAATCGACGGCAGGAGCTCCCGACGTCACCACCACGACACCTCTCCTGAGTCCTGTGCCTTCCTTCTGCCTCACCTACCAGTATCTTACCTTACTATTGAGCCATGTGCATGGCAAGTGCGCAACCAATTTCTTTTAGATTTAGGAAAGAACTTGTCATCGTACCAAATTCCAAATAGCAAGCACCTTCCTCTCCTCCTTTTCTTCAACGTCGCGTCCGTACCTTAGAGGTAGGTAAGTACCTTGCATCAATGGCAGGTGAGAGCCATCTTAGTCTACCTTAGTTCCTTCCCCAGTCTAAAGTAGGTATGAATGAAGCATTTGGAGACATCCGTTACACCAAGCAGAAAGTCAACGGAGCCAAGCGGGTAGAATTTGCATAGCTAGCTTCCAATTCCCCGTCTACAATTCTCAATTTGTGACATCGACATTCTTCATTGTAGATTTGCCGCACAACTTTGAACTTCTATATCGGCACGCATCGGTAGCAGACATTGCAGAGTCCACCCAATTCCTCCAGTCTCTCCACACATCTTGCGTATGCGGAGTATTGCCGGTATTCAGCCTCACGGACATGACCTCATCGTCCCATTGCCAGAGACAGGCTGAGGCAAAGACATTCACTTTGTTATTCACCAATGTCACCGCACGCGCTGCAGTGTAGACAGCTATTCGAGCCGTGATTGGAATCTGCCACACTCTGTCTGCTCTACCTAAGGTATACGAATGCCACCAGGGAACACAAGCTCCGTCGTCCACTCACATTCGGCTTGTTCCATCACTAATTCATCATCCCAGCAGATAATGCGCGCCTTCTTGCTAGCTCCGCCCAAGTCGAGCTCACCGAACCCAGCCAAAGTCTCACCTCCCTTGTCCAAGGAAACGACCATTCGGACTTGGGACTCCACCTCAAACGATACACACCGAGGCTCGCGGCTTGCTTTGCAGTACCGTATCGTATTGTCTACCTACATCGCCGCCGCTGTTTACTGAGAGAACTGCAAAACAACGACTCCCATGGCACTCTCGATGCTGGGCTGATATGTACGACACTGTATTCTCTATGTTTGATTACCTATCAGCAATCATGAATACAAGCAGCCATCCGATCGTGGCATTCTCGTATCAACTGTACATCTTACCAGCCAATGTACCATGCAGCCGACCCCTGCGCCTCCAGCTTCACCGTGCGCCACCCCCAGACCGTCTGGTCCGTGAGCTGAGCAAAACCTCCGGCTCCATGACGATGCGATCTCGATGTCATCCAACTCCCGCTTACTGGCTCCCCCGTGGTTGGCTTGCGTTTCCGACATTTTTCTGCAATACCTGCAATCTTCGAGACGTTGCCAGCCCTCTCGTACGAGGAACCAGATACCTAGGTATCTGCACCGACGAAGCCCCCATGTATCTACTTTCTCGATCATGGCACGATTGCTATCCATACGCACCCAATGATTGGGCGGCTCCCTACCTCAGACTCACGCGCCGCATTGGAGCGACGAGATACCTGGCTGGTTGAATAATGCCCAACTAGCCATGCCGCGAGATCATACGTAACAACATAGCACCGCCCGTTGGCTCTTGGTAAATAGACTGTTGCAGAACGGTTGCACAATTGCGATTACACATGACGACTGGCAAAGGTGCTTTGAATTCCAAGATTACATAGTGAAAACTAAACAACACCATAATGCAAGATTCGACGACTGCGCCATCGCGCTAGGGTATCTGGACGGCCACGTAAAGAAAGGAGGCGGACTATCTTCCAAGCCAGCACGGCCCGGTCACATCACACGCACTGCCATCCGCCCGGCCGCAAGCCGAGCCGGGACTGGTGGTGTGATACCGGGTCCGTCTTCAGCGGACCCGCCCTCCGGCACCGGCGGTGCCGGTGCGGTCGCTGCCCTCGCTCGGGTCTCCCGCGTCTGCCAATATTGACTTCGGCAAACGGGACAATCAAATCTTTCAATCAAGAACCACGACGAGAGACACTTGGCGTGGAAAGCATGTTGGCAGTTCTTTAGCGTCAAGATATCATCTTCGGACGGTTCACTTGCAGACGCGGACAATTTTCTCTTCCACGGCCACGGCATATTCCAGCTTCGCAGTATGGCCTTCACATCACGAACCTCATCCGTACCTCCGACCGTAGACCGGCTTGTCTCTTCCCCACTTCCTTCTAGAACACGGGTGTGCCCACCGGAATCGGGGGCCTTCAGGGTGATCCCTTGCGTCGGTACTGCTCCGGCAGCATTGCAGTTGCTTGAGACGAACAGTGGACCGATACAGATGGGACTATTGGTGGCAGCGTCAGCGACCTCGGTGTATTATGCATTGGCGAACTCTGTTGTCGGCTTCCCCCGCGAAGATAGCGCACGCCTCATACCCAAGGCTTTCCCCGCAGTGACCAACTTGGCGAGAGATACTCACCATTCCGGTTCCGAGTCATGCCGATTGAGCTTCGACTCGAGATCCAACCCGTCGAGGGTAGTGCTATTGCACTCGGAAACTGTGCTCAATTTTCGTCGGGCGTCTTGGAACTTTGATGTTTTGGGATGATATTTGCGACGGTCTTGTATGCGCAGATATGTGAGGCGGACTCTAACGACACGCATGCTCATCAGCTCCTCGTAGCTATCTTGCTTCGGAGAGGGGGGTTCAGTACGGTCTATACAGCGGCCCGCAGACGAGAAGGACCATGAAAAGCGTAAGCAAAATTATGCCAAGTTCGTCCATGCAGCCGGTGGGTGCCCGACGAGGGGCATGCCAGACTCCTAGACCGACTTGAAAGTGATAACGGGCACTTCTTGCGCTGGTTAATCGCGAGTTCTTCAATGCCAACAACAGGATGTGTTGTGGCTTTCAAAAGCTGCACATCGCATCTGTGGTGAGAAATGCGGCGACGGCGACCATTTAACTCGGCAAATGTCGACAAGCGGCGGCGCAATCAAGGCTGATCAGATGACAACAAACGCTACATAGGCCGACAAGGCACACCTACAGAACCCTCGTGAATGGCTGGAGTCAAGAGCCGAGTTGGTGATACGCCAGATGCGAGCTCTCTGCCATCAGCCACCAATACCCCTCATTCACCCAAGAGCAACGGCGTTCAGCTATGGTGTTCTCACAGCTGGGCGCCCAGTCTTCCTTGCAAATGGCTGTTTGCTTGAGATAACAATGAGTCGACGAGTTCCAACTTCCAATAAGGCCACACATGGCTCATTATCTTTGATTTTCTCTATCCATACCTGCTCAAAACCTTCACGATATCGTTCTTCGTGGGCCAAGAACCTTGGCTGCAAATTACGCCGAATCAGATGCTTGTCTAGATGCAACTCTTTCTGGGGGTTAGATAGAATAGCCCAGGTTTGTGACGTAAAACTGGCGTGTGATACTGGTCTTGGTATCCTTGGTAAGCGGCGGGACGCCTCTACTACCTTGCCTCCGTTTTCCCAAGAGAGGCCGATGAGTCTGTCTGGACTCCTGGGCAAAGAGACTGAACTGCAACGGGGCAGGGAACGAAACGCAAAAACGAAGCAACGGAGGGGTTGATTGACCTTACACAGTAGATACCCTAACCTTTTCAGTGGATGGGCGGGGGAATGTTGGGGTGACGAGGACTTCCACCAGTGATTGCCCCTCCATATCCCCTCTACCCCCTCCGGAAAGTTGGAAACTTTTGAATGAACCGCCATGGAGACCCCAGGATTTGGAGGTGAGAAACATCTACGGAGTACTCCAGACTCCAACTATCCAACACCAAAACGCATCCACGAACCCCAGGAGAGCCGGCGGCGGCGCTGGAGGAGAGGAAAGTGGACTTTGGAGGAGCGGCGCCGGCGCCCAGCAGGCCGGCCAAGAACCGCCAAGTTGCCCGTCATCCCTTGGCTGCCAGACTGACCTACCAGAGCTTCAACTCTTCTCATTTGCAACCCACCTCATATGTCCACCTCGGGGCGGCCAAGACGTCCGCCGTCCAATACCATCAGCTGACCAGTGTCTCTTGCGACACCGAATGGAGAAATGCGATCAAGCATGCTGGAGAAGGATTTGGCAAAGACCCTGCTCCGAGTATCCCGCAAACGTGCACTGGCATGATGAGCTGGAAGGCGTGGTTGTAGCTGGATAGGCCGGGCTATTCGCGGCCTTGTTTTCTATGCCCAGAAAACATCGGCCTATCTGAGGGGCTCACGATATCTCTCTACACATTTCGATAAGTCTCCAAATTGGGCTCCTACACTTCTCGCCCAGTATCTAGGCGTCTCACTCGGGGTGGCTGTGTTTCTGGGCGGACCCGTTCTTCCCCCGCCCGTGTTGCGCCCGAGTTGTCGTGAGTCGGTGATACTGGGTCAAGATCCCGGTTCATGTTCGTCCTCTCCACGTTCCTCGCAGCCGTAATTTGTGTAGACTCTGGGCAGGCGTTCTCGTGCGCGGGGTTCAAAGCAAACCATGAGGGGAGAGAGGTTGAGAGGAATAGCGACGGAAGACTTCGACTGACGTTGTCAAGTGTAGATGGTGTGAGTTGAATATGGTCGTCCGGATTAACGGAGGTTCGGAGCCCACCGATCAAGTTCGAACCCGCATATTTACGGCGTGTGAATCTTCGAAGAGTGACCGAAAATATCGGGAACTTTTGCGACTTTGACGGTGCCGGCGTCTTGCCATCGGCGTCGAAGACGTTCAATAACGCGTCCGCTCACCTTGAACGACCTGGACAACAGACGGCGCTTTATAGTTGTGCAGAGCACTGAGAGGCCTCCCAAGCACATGGTGCGGCAGTTGTCGTATGCTGTGTGCGTCACCTTCTGGCGCCCGTCACTTACAACTCCGGATCTGGCATGTCTAGGTCCTGGCCATGAGAAGGAGCCGGAAGAGCAGGATGAGCCAGTTGACCGTCGTGCAGCTGGCAGCAGGGAGAGTGGAGAACGGCGGGGAAAATGGCACAGAGAGCCCCTCGTTGAGTCTTGAAGAGCTGTTTCCGACGTACGAACCGCGCTGCCCAGGAAACATGTTAGCTTCTGGGCACTTTCTTTGGATGTACACATATCCCTGCGACAGCTATGATCATCACCCGGCGGCGTATACCATTTCTAAATCTATTGTCCCTATCCGTACATATGGGACACCCCGGAGTCAGCTCAGCGACACTGAGCTAGACTCGGCCTTACCGCAAGCCCGCCAGTGTTACACTTCAAACCTGTCAAGCCTACAGCCTACCTTAGACTTTGAGAAAATTGTACGGGTACGGTCTACGACCAACCACAGTATACGATCTTGGCGCTATTGCAGATACACTACTGCAGAGGTGACAGCACCCCTGCAACTGGCAACCTTCTAGAAGGAGGGCACCCCCACAATGGATGTTTCTTGGAAGGCAGAGAGATGTCTTACTGGCCGGAGGCGTAGTGGAGAAGGCAGAAACTCTCGTCTTCTGTCTTTCTGGGCGCAGCCAAATTCATCACCGAAAGCATCGATCCCTCAACCTCACCCACCCCCTCCTCCATGCTCTTGTCTCTGGCGGGTCCAATTGTATTCTCCATTACAATGCCCAGCACCGCTCTCAGCCTCTCGAGGAGCGGGCTGCCCAGAATGAGGCCCGCTGCCCAGAGTCTCGGCAGCTCAACATGGCAGGCGAGGGCGTCGAGATCCAACCAAGATCTGGATTGCGTGCTATTGAATCGCTCGCGTGTTCACGACCGATTTTCGGTCGAACAGCTTGAGATTGCTCCAACATCATGGAAAGCCTGGGGGTACCCTTGAAAGAGCCCCGCGCAGAGCCGCCAAGGCTGAAGGAATGCGCCCTCGACACCCATGAGAACGCTTGTCACGGACCGCGAGGAAACTGATAGATGTGGGCGTTTTACGCCCCCCTCGTACTGTCCGGCTATCTTGTTATGAAGTCATAACGCCCAGAGATGATTCCCCGTCCCGGGGCACCAAGTACATGTATACATGTTCTCCCAACTCCCCTCTCGAATCTTTGGCTTTTTGTTCCTCGCCTCTCTCGACATACTCTAAATCAAGTCTTACCACGAACTTTTTGTTTTCATTGTCTCATCTTTCCTACTCATGCTTGACTGTTCTCTTGACCTTAAGGGGGTAGAAGTGCTTGAACCTGGATAAGAGCAGAGCACTCACACTTTTGCCTGTTACAGCTCGTATTTGTCCAAAGACTTACACATCCCTCCACTCCGACTGGTCCCAGCGACCGCTCTTGGAATCTCTTGGAGAGCTTCTACCAGGTGATTCGGAAGTTGGTCCATCGTTACCTGTCTTCTTGCTGTTCACACTCAATCGATTCAGCCTTTCCCCCGGTGAACAACTGTCAACATGGGAAAGAAAGATCCCGAGGCTGAGGCTATGGCCAACCACATCTCTGGACAGTCTAATAAGCCCATGTCCAGGCCGGCACATGCTTTGGCTACCGAGCAAGTCGTCCAGGAGCTGAGAGCCAACCCAGACGACGGCTTGACACCCGAGGACGCCAAGACTCGTCTCGAAGAATATGGCCGCAACGAATTTGGCGCCGATAAGGGCGTTCAACCCGTCAAGATCTTCATTGGACAGATTGCCAATGCAATGACCTTGGTATGGCTTCTTCGCCTTCTTCATTCTTCCATACAAAGAACGACAGACTGACGCAGACATCAAATTAGGTTCTGATCCTGGCCATGGGTGCTTCTTTTGGTATCAAGTCTTGGATCGAGGGAGGTGTCGTCGCTGGTGTTATCTTTCTTAACATTACTGTCGGCTTCCATCAAGAGTTCAAGGCCGCAAAGACGATGGATTCCCTTCGATCACTTAGCTCGCCTACTGCTCAGGCCGTACGAGAGGGCCGTAACATCACCGTCCCCACCGTTGAGATTGTGCCTGGCGACATGGTCGAGCTCAAGACTGGTGACACCATCCCCGCCGATGTTCGCATAATCGAAGCTGTCAACTTTGAAACAAACGAAGCCTTGCTCACGGGAGAGTCTCTCCCCATCCGCAAGGAGGCTGCTCAGACTTTTGATGATGAGACTGGACCTGGTGACCGCCTCAACGTCGCATACAGCTCCTCAACCGTTACGAAGGGGCGTGCCCGTGGTATCGTCTTCGCTACTGGCATGTATACCGAAATTGGTCAGATTGCTGCCGCCCTTCGGGGCAAGAACTCACGCCGCCGAGAGGTCAAGCGTAAGGAGGACGGCTCCGCCACCTTTGGGCGCTACCTTCAAGCATGGACTCTGACCCTTTCTGATGCTGTCGGGCGCTTTTTGGGCGTCAATGTTGGAACACCTCTGCAGAGGAAGCTGTCTAAGTTGGCAATTCTTCTCTTTGGTACCGCTGTCGTGTGCGCCCTGATCGTACTGGGAGCAAACAATTTCAACACAACGCAGGAGGTTGTGATTTACGCCGTTGCTACTGGTCTTGCGATGATTCCTGCCTCGTTGGTTGTGGTCTTGACGATTACCATGGCCGCTGGCACGAAACGAATGGTCCAGCGTCACGTTATTGTTCGCCAGTTGAAGAGTTTGGAGGCCCTCGGTGGTGTTACGAGTAGGTTCACCCCAAGAGCACTGATGATATTTACCAATGACAGATGCTAATCCACCCGTAGACATTTGCTCTGACA